CTCCGATCCCGATCCAGCCCGATCCAGGGAACACGTCCGACAAGTAACCGAATAACGCAGACCAGGGCTTATTGACCCAGGGCGGGGCGGAACGGGCCGGCAGGCAGACACTCTCTTCACTCGAGGGGTGTATGCCATAGGTCCTACTCATTTTTGACCTACTTGACTTCTGGGGAGGTGGTGCAAGCACAAACAGGGGAAGACGTTCGCCCAAAATTTGACCTATTTATGGAGTGGAGCTTAATATTTCGCAAGACTGGACCTATCAATCGCAAGCTTGCGTTTCTTGACGTGCTCCCCCATCTGACCTACCAGGCTCGCCCCCCCCCCCAACCCCCACCAGTAGTCACACAGTAAGTTAGAAATTTCTCATGACGCCGAACACACACCGAGTGGTAGCATCGCGTCGTCGGCCTGCCACTGTGAGTCACTTGGCGGAAAGCGAGCAGTTGTGATCGGTGCGGCGGCTTCCCGAAGCTTCAACTACCGACGGAGGGTTGAGTCCAAATCCAGATAATCCAGTCGATAAGCAACATTTGAAGGGGATACCCTTAGCTTCGGGTAAAAAGCATGAAACTTTAGACACATGTTCCCAAAGAAAAACTTGGCTAATTTTCCGCGCAAGCATCACAGACTAGCTAGGACCCTGGGCCCTCCTAAACTAGAGGAGGTGGGCTGCCGTTTGCCGTTGGTGCCGGCTAAGGCATGAAGTAAGGTGAACCCCAGCTTAGCATGGAGCCTTGAGGTTTATAGATTTAGTAGTTTCTTTGGCCACTAGCGACAATTATCGTTCATTTTGTTACCCAGCAATATCGGAGCGAGCACGAAGTGAAGCGAGAGGGGGAGACAGAGAGGGAATGAGGCTGTTGCCATGAGCTCGGACTGAGAGCGAGAGAGACTGACGACGGACCGCTCCGGGGTCCGGGCGCGCGAGGCCGGTGGAGTTTGGAGCAGTTTCAAGCGGCACGGACGGGGGACGCCCAGGGCCACAAACCGCGCGGTCGAGGAGTGGAGACGGAGCAGCCGCGCCTGGGTCGCGCGGGGGGCCCGCGCGGCCCGACCACCACACCGGCTTCCAGGGACATCAAAGGCTCTCACTCAGACAAAGGCGCGGCGACGCAGGGGCTGAGGAGAAGGTGAAGGCGGGGCGGGAGGTGCGTTCGACAAAGCGGGCATGGCGCTGTGCAGCTGATTGAGGTGCATTGTCGGCTCAGGTCCGCCATTGGCGAACGCATTGAGCGCT